AAACTAGATACTATAGAGGGACTTTGCGGAAAATTTCAGTCAAATTGATCCACCCTGAACCGAGATATTAGCTTTTGAATTTTAGGCCTAGTCTCGATCATCATTACTAAAGTCGGTACAATAAAAAACATAGTCTCCATTATCCATTTTTAGTTTTAATCATCAATGAGCGTTGAGCATCAGATCGGATTCAAATCCAGTAAATATTACAGGCTAGCGATGACATCGAAAGTTGATTATGGTCTGGATAAGTTAATTAATGTCTAAATAATTTAGATCGCATTTCAGGCCTAAAGAAAGACCTGCGATGGGCATGACATGTTTAACGATGACGATAGCCTGACAGTTCGCAAAAGTTCTACTGCAATAGTGCAGGGGAACCTTGTGACAAATGAACTAAAATGGGGTTTAGCGCTTGCATAATGTATATTTACATAGGCATTTATTAACTTGCCAAGACCATAATCAACCCTTGATGCCACCGGCTCTCTCTCTCTCTCCCTCTATCTTTCTCTCTCTCTCTCTCTCGCTCTCTCGATCTCAACCAATACAATCAATCAATCAAGGTTAAAATCAATCATGCATGTTAAATAAAATGAGGAGTTTCACAAACAAACACCTGAGAAATCTCACAACACGGCTGATATTGATTATATCCATTATAGATTGTATTAATCAATCACAGGATACATCCGGCTAAATTTATTTGTTAAAGTCAGCTCAACTTTTATCACGGTCGTTGAGATGTAAATAAGGTTAGGGCATGCGATTGTTATCATTTAGCACTAACCGGATACGTCGTTGTGAGTTAAACAAAGCAAGCTTCGCAAATACTAATAAAATGTTAAAGGAGCTTACCAGACGAGAGCCGGAAGTTGATACAATATATTCTTTTGTTTCTACAGTTGAAGATGGCCGGACGTTGATTCCCTCTATTGTTTTGTATCTTTGTTATTTATATACATGCTCACTACCGTAGAACTATTCAAGGCATGTTAAATTAGCCAAGGTCCTCATTCAATATTAGCCAAAGTCGTAACATTTAATACACGAATTGCAATTCCATATTAGTTAATTACAACTAATACGGTTGTTTTATCTTACCGTGAAAATATGGATTCCTGATATCAACTATTTAAGATAGAGAGAGAAGGAAACATCGTTTAACGTTCACTCGACAAAAACCGGGTCATTTCGGGACTAACATATGGTTTAATGAGAGGAAACCGGAGGATCCGGAGAAAACTCACGAGGTTGGACAGGTGACCATACTCATCGTCACGAACAACCAGAGAATCGAAAACACGCCAGATGATTCAATGACATACCTTATGATTTAACGCGCACGCGCTAACCATTAAGCCATCGAACCTCCCCTCCGCCCTTATGCGTTAGCGGTCTGATGTTGAAAGCACAAACACTAAAAAATCTTCTCACATCCAACATGTGACGCATACACTTTCCTCTGCTAAACATTTTATTAGCCTTGTGATCGTCTAATATCGTCTCTGGTTATATTTCTAATTCTCTTCTTATGGCTAGGACCTCTTTTCACGTTGTGTATTTTCTTCTTACTATCTCAGTAGTTAAGGCGTTTATCTACCAGGAATAACACTGCAAAAGTTCGTTTCTACATTTAATATGAAGGACTGGATACATAGGTTATAAGCTTAGGTTACATTGCAATACTTATAATTAAAGGACAATATTGGAGCCAGTCATTATCACATATGTGATAGAGCTGGTTAAACACATTCCAAATATAATTTTAACACAGAGATCATTGCTACGATAGCTGAGTAATACAGGTTTCCTGAATCGGAAGTGACAAACGCCAAAGGAAAACACGAGTCATCTCTCTATATAACTGACTGATGTGACGAGTGATAACAGATACACGGGCGAATTTCTGCTCACTAATACTTCCTTCGAAGACCAAAAGTTCTTATATGGGACTGTAAGAGGATACCTGACAATTCAATAAAGTAATTGAATGTCATTAGATAAGAGAACACTAGAAAAATAGAAATAGTCCGTACATTCCCTTGTTTATATTCATTCTATACCTTATAAAAACATGGTAATGCACGGACTTTTTCTGTTTTTCTTTCGTGTTCACTTATCTAGTGGCAGTCAATTCTTTTTATGAATTGTCAGATATCCTCTCACAATCTCACACAACAACTTTTGGTCTTCGAAGGAATTATTAGTGAGCAGAAATTCGCCCGTGTATCTGTTATCACTCGTCACATCAGTCAGTTATATAGAGAGATGACTTTGGCGTTCGTCACTTCCGATTCAGAAAACCTGTATTACTCAGCTATCGTAGCAATGATCTCTGTGTTAAAATTATATTTGGAATGTGTTTAACCAGCTCTATCACATATGTGATAATGACTGGCACCAATATTGTCCTTTAACATGTCTTGCTCTCCACTCCATAATTCGTAGATCGAGTTTACTGGTGGGGCACATCACATCATATGTCTCTCCTACAAATCGGGGGTGGGGGGATCGCTGAATGGTTAGCACGTGCGCGCTGTTACCTACAATGTCAACCGATTTTATTTTGGTAGTCAGCTAATGTAAGAAGGGGGATTTTCAAAGTTTATTTGAGAAAATGTGGGAGGTTTTAGGATAAAGGAGACCGTCAATGACCATGATATTTTTCAGCACACAAAGCTTGGACAAGATTTGAGTTGTATGGACTGATAAAAACACAGCTACTTTACCGACAGAACAAACATGAGGTTCACTCTTGTGCAAACAAGTCGCACGAAAAACATTGTCGGCACAAGTATAGTAATCTAAGACCCCAGTCCCAAGACATAAATTGGTGTTTGTATGCATACTTTTATTCAAATACGATCAAACTATAATATAGAGCTTCATATAAAGACTGAATAATAATCAACCAAAGTAAATAAAAAAATATGAGGTATTAACAGTGAAGATATGAATTATAAGGTATTCTTTGAAACCATCAAAATCTGCAAATAGTTTAATAGTCATTTCCAAGTAGAATCGTCTTTTGACGGGGTTGGTAGAGCAGCTAGATTTGTTTTCAGATCTAGATTGTTAGAATGATCAACACAAAATTATCAGTAAGAAAGATTCCAAATACAAAGCTAGCATCGAGGACAGAAAAGTTACCAGTCCCCCAGTTTCTATTAAGGTAATACTCTTAGTTTCTTTTCAAATGGTGAATGTTGCCACTGCCTCACTTCCGTTGTATTTGTAGCATTATACTCGACGTTAAGTAGCTGACAATGTGTAAAATTCTTGCTAGACAATTAAGAACCAGTTCCACACAAATGTTAAGAATATGTTCGTGGGGTGTCGAAATACCCCTTGTCTACGCACAAGGGCTAATGTTCCAGTTGCAATAATTAAAATTCGTTTCTTTTATTAATTTTTGCCGAATCTTCCTGTGTATCATTCATTTCTGTATCTAGGCGGATGAGCCTACAGTGAAACTAACATAAAATGGGAAAGGAAATTACAGCCACTGTAAAGGAAGCCGGTTTGTCGATCTTTAAAGTTTTGTTTGCGTGTAATGCAACCCTTCTGCACTTACTGTTAGACAGGTTTCACAACATATTCATAAACTAGTCAATAATTCATAAAATGTTTATTTTCTATAATAGCTGTTAATTTGTTTAATTGATTATATATGAAAATACAACAGTCGGGCTGTAATGTTTAATTCCACTTACACACGCACGCTTCCTTAAAGGGTATTATTCAAGATTTGATAAAAAGCTGACAATTCTCACTATAATAGTTAAAAACTAGACAATGAACCGAGACACCTAGCTTTTGAATTTTAGGCCTAGCCTCGGTCATCATTACTAAAGTCGGTGCGATACAAAACATAGCCTCGATTATTCATTTTTGGATTAAATCATCAATGAACGTTAAGCAGCAAATCGCAGGCTAGCGATGACGTCGAGAGTTGATTATGGTCTGGATAAGTTAATTAATGTCTAATTAATAGTTTTTATAAACTTTCAGGCCTAAAGAAAGATCTGCAATAGGCAGATTTAGCTCTTGTATAATGTGTGTTTAAAAACAAAGATTAAAAACAAACGTTACCCCCATTTCATTTCCGTCCTTGCCAGGCCCTCCGCCCTCCACGCACTGACGGAAAATGTCTCTCTCACTACTCACTGAAAATATTTGAGATAGGTCACTGACCTTGTATGGCTTTCAAATGAAATGAAATGGGGTTTAACGTCCTACTGTTCTGCTCCGAACTGCGCTAATGAAGACGGGCATACACCATACAGTGTGCTATGAGGGAAATTTTGCCTGGACAGCGGCACTACGGCCTACTCTTACATCGAATTCCAACTGTCAAGGGATCTTTTACGTGCACACCAATGTGTACACGGGACCTCGGTTTTCCGTCTCATCCGAACGACTAGAAATCTGTCCTTGCCAAGCCCTCCGTCCTGGCAGTCTAAGGCCCATTTTCCATGGACGCGTTTTCACCGGTAAAAAGGTCGGTCTAATGCAAATATAATGGGACCGTTTCCATGTATCCGGCGAAAACGCGTACATGGAATACGGGCTCCGGCGTAGGATCTCGTTTCATTTCAAAAGTTACACACGGGTCTACATATTCCTGTCAGTCCAAACCTTGATCCTCGTCGATCCGTCTTTATTAGCCCAGTTGGGACAGAACCGTAGGACGTTAAACCCCATTTCATTTCATTTTCATTTCGTTGATCCTCGTTTCATTTCTAAAGTATATACAAAAAAAGAACTGTACATTTAACCTTTTCCTTGTCGCGTGAAACTATCGATTTTATGTGACAAGTTTTATGAAATACATGTAGAAATATCCGAAGTTTTCATGTACACTGATTGTACTCGTAAAATCTGATAACTAACTCACGATCAATATAACAGACTGAACGACCGAGGAGGGTTCATCATCTTCAGGACTGAAGAACACAACTCCAAGTCAAGCAGATAGGGAGACGTGTTCACGATTTGATGTGCTGCTGTGACAGAGAACTCACTTTCTTCAGAACACAATCCCACTTATAACAGACGGGGTTGAAATTACATAAGACGTGTTCACGATTTGATGTGCTGCTGTGACAGAGAACTCACTTTCTGCAGAACACAATCCCACTTATAACAGACGGGGTTGAAATTACATAAGACGTGTTCACGTTTTGCCGTGCTGCTATGACCCAGAGCTCACTTTCTTGAGAACACAAAATCAGACAAGGTTGATATCACCGAGGATGTGTTCGCGATTTGCAGTTATGTTGTTACTACTGATACACAACCGGTGCCTCCTCGGTCAAATGTGTTCAAGTATTGATAAATTTGTTAATGTTCATGGTATTTTGGAAAACACGAGAATTAATGCGGAACCGTTTTTGATCAGCAGAAGTGTAGGATTGATAAAATGCTTAAGATCCTGTGCTACTTATTCGCTGTGCAAGGCGTTTAATTTTGAGGATTCCTCTGGCACTTGTGAGTTACATAGGGAGATGGTGATGGAAGAAAATATTGAAAGCTTTAATGGATATCTTACTAGTAATTTATCCAGTTGGCTGAACAAGGACATAAACTATTGTCAGAATCATATGTGTGGTTATAATGCTATTTGTGAACCAAGACTCACTAATTATATATGTACAGTCATTGGATGTTTTGACTCCTTCGAGCCCTTTGCGAACAAGACGACGTTTACCAAGATGATTTATGGTTTTGGTGATATTGTGGCTACGCCTTGCCAAGGTGATTATTATACGAATGTTACGGTGCAGTGTAGTTCGGCTGGAACTTGGACATCATTTAAATGTTACCCATATCAGCAGATAAGAAACTGTAATTTTCTTCATAAAAATTGCAACCCGGCACTCCTTGACGGCGAGTACTGGTTGTATCCACCTAGTCAAAATGGAGTCCGCACCAAGGTCTACTGCCACAACATGCAGACAACTGACCCTGAGGCATTCATCACCCTGCACGAACATAACTTTGCCAGTAAAAGCATCTATGTTTATGACCCAGAATGCTTCAAAATCATGGCCGACGATGTTACCATTAATGCCAACGCCTTGGGTCTAACTACATTCCAGAAAATTAGCTTTGCTCCGGCTACAGGAGATGTCCGTAACGATTATACATTTGCAATAACTAACGACTCCGTACAAACTTTTGGAACAGCAGGAGATTGCGTGGATGAGTCTTATAGTTGTTCTGCTCTAGGAAACTTCCTTATTAATCTATCGGGTACTGGACTGCTAGTTGACCCGGATGTTTCCTGGGTGGAAGATAGTACCAGCAGTGAAATGAACATCACAAATGATGACAATCGGGTAATATCCGGTGTCTGCGGAAAGGGGTGTTCCGGCTGTTCCCCGAGCCCCTCCATCAAGCTAGTTCCCGATCCCGATTATAAACCACCCATGGAGAGTGCCACAAGACCCATCTGTACACTATAACTTTTCCAAACGGGGTGGTAATATCTAGTGACGTAAAGCTAGTGTGTGCACTTTATAATAAGTATCGTAACTTAAAAGTCATGCAAGAGTTAAATCGGACAATTGCAGGTCTTTCTTACCTAAAATGTTATCTAAATTATTAATCAGACATTAATTAACTTATCCAGACCATAATCAAATTTCGATGTCATCGCTAGCCTGCGATATTTACTAGATTATAATCCGAACTGCTGCTCAACGTTCATTGATAATCAAATCAAAAAGTGGATAATCGATACTATGTTTTTTATCGTACCGACTTTAGTAATGATGTTCGAGGCTAAATCCCTAAATTCTCGGTTCAAAAGGGATCGATTTGACTGAAATTTTCAGCAAATTCCTATTAAATTATCTAGTTTTCAACTATTATAGTTTGAACTGCCAGCGCTTTGTCTAATCTCCCATAATGTATCCTTAATAGCATGCTCTTGTTATCCGAGTTGCAGATAACCAAATAAAAAAAAAACACTTATAGCCCTTGGCAGTTGGAATTCGATATAAGAGTAGGCGATAGTGCCGCTGCCCGGGCAAAATTTCCCTCATAGCACACTATGTGGCGTATTCCCGTCTTCATTGGCCCAGTCCGGAGCTGAACAGTAGAACGTTAAACCCAATTTCATTTCATTTCCCTGTTTAGACATTTACAGGAGTGGGGTTGAGAGAAAGAGATGTTAATTTTAAATATTGTAATGCAGACTATTGTGTATCTGTTGTGACATAAAGACGTATAGAAAAACCTATCATTGTTCCTGTTAAATATTTAATTTCAGTATCGTGAGAAAACGTTAACGTCCACTCGACACAAACCAGGTCATTTCGGGACTAATACATGATTCAATTTTATTTCAATAATTCACTTGAACGTAGGGGTCTTTAGCAGTGGGAGGTAACCGGATGGCCCAGAGAAAACCCACACGGTTGGACAGGCGATCCTACTCCTTGTCATGTACAACCGGTGAATCGAAACCACGCCAGTTGACTCGATCACAGACCATATTATTATGATGAAGCGCGCACACGCTAACCATTCGGCCATCCAACCCCCTAACAGTGGCTCGGACGTCGGATATGGTAAGCTTTTTTGAAGGTTTTGGGCTTTCCATATCTGACCGACAAAGCTTCATGGGGTTTTTTTTTTGTCATATTACTTTGAATATTTCTTACACAGTAATAAAGACAAGATCACAAGGTTTTAAATGTTTAACGTCCTAAGAACAACAAAGGTTTATTGTCGCAGACAGCCAGATTGGTTCTGTACACGTTGGCGTGAGAGTAAAAGGGTCCTTGACATTTGAAGTCCGATGAAGATTAGAAGAAAATGCAAAATTCACCCATCGCCTTCATATATATAATGTATATAACATATATAATATATCAAAGGCTTAAACTTGCATTATGCAAGAGCTAAATCTGCCTATTGCAGGCCTTTCTATAGGCCCAAAATGTTTTCTAAATTATTAATTAGACATTAATTAATTATCCAGACTATAATCAACTCTCGATGGCATCGGATTTCTCCGATATTAAATAGATTAGAACAGTTCAGCCATATTTTGATTTAAGCTATTGAGGAGCGAGACTTAGCTTCGAACAACCAGTACGGTGGTTGAAATTATTGCACACGTCTTGTCAAACCTTCAAAGGCTAATATCTTCGCTCGCAATAGAATAATTTGAATTAAATTTTCAAATTATTCTATTCATTTTACATTAACCATTTTCGAACTATTATAGCACGAATGGCTAGCTCTTTATCTAAATCGAGCATAATGTATCTTAAATTCCCTTTACATTATCTATTTTTTAACTATTAAAGTGAGAACTGCCAGCTCTTTATTTCATCTCCCATATCGTATAGATTAACTGCACAGGAACTAGAAAACAAAAGGCCGATTATCTTCTGTTGCTTTTAAAGCAGGACAGAACGGATGTCGATCACAGTAATTGCATTTCGATTAGACAAAACAAATATCCATCATTGGCAACCTGTAAATGCTGTCCATAAAAGAAACCAATCGTTAAAGGGGCTTAGAAAGTTCTCGCTATAATAGTTCAAAACGTACATTTTTAGATAACGTAAATAAAATATGCAGAAAATTTCAGTCAAATTGCTCCACTCTGAACCGAGATATTAGCTTTTGAATTTTAGTCTAATCTCGGCCATCATTTCTAAAGTCGGAACGATAAAAAAAAACAAAGTCTTTGTCATTGAGTTAACTGGCGTGGTTTCCATTCCCCGGTTGTACCTGACAAGGAGTGTGATCGCCTGTCCAACCTCATGGGTTTTCTCCGAATTATTGTAATAATATTGAATCGTATGTTACGCCCCGAAATGACCTAGTTTGTATCGAGTGGCCGTTACCACCCCCACCCCCGCCCTCTCTCTCCGCCTCGTTTTCATTAGCCCAATCGAAGCAGAACGTTGAACCTGATTTCATTTCCTTTCAACGTAGGTAAATTAAATGTAAAATAATTTCATAAGAATTGGAGTGCTTTGTTATCGTATTCTTGGATGGGCAGGCTTGAATATCTAACTTACGCCTTGGTCGTTTCATTACAAATAGATGAACTACAATAAAAACAATGGGATAATACCGTCTGGGGGATTCGTCTAATTGAAATGAGTTAAACGAACTGTTTCTTGACTTAGATCATCATCATAGAATAATGATAATGTAATTAGAGAGATTCATTAATGAAATGTAATAAATAAAATGATATGGGGTTTAACGTCCTTCTGTTCTGCTCCGAACTGGACTAATGAAGACGGGTATACGCCATACAGTGTGCTATGAGGGACATTTTGCCCGGACAGCGGCACTACGGCCTTATCTTATATCGAATTCCAACTGTCAAGGGATCTTTTACGTACACGGGACCTCGGTTTTTTCGTACCATCCGAACGACTAGACAACTGTCCTTGTCAGGCCCTCCGTCCTGCATCACTGACAAGGGGGAACCACGCCGGAAAATCTGGATGAACTTTCTCGGCCAATGCAGGGATCGAACACCCGACCTCCAGGCTGGAATGTAATATCTATAAAGGTAGTTAATACCAATTAGAAACATTCTTAGGAAGAATTAGGAACCTGGGTTAAACTAACCTTGATAACATTTTTATTTGCCATTGAGGTGCATGGCCGAATGGTAAGCACATGCACACTGTATCATAAGGTCTGTTATTGAGTCAACTAGCGTGGTTTCGATTCCCCGGTTGAACGTGACAAGGAGTAGGGTCGCCTGTCCAACCTTGTGGGTTTTTTTTCCGGGTGCCCTGGTTTCCGCCCACTGCTAAAGACCCCATATGCGCAAGCGAATTAATTAAATAAAATTGAACCATGTGTTAGTCCCGAAATGGTGCTCGAGAACAATAGAAAGGGTTTTTTTTTAAAAAAAAAATAAAATTATAAATTATTTTACAAAATAAAAATTATAAATTATTTTACAAAATAAAAATTAAAATACAAAATATAAAATATATAAATTCAAAACAAAAATTGTTCGTATTAAATATTTATTAAAAAAATAAATATGAAAAATAATGATCATTATATTGGGGTTTATAGTTTCGAATACGTTATTATTATTTTTTTTTCTTTTGTTTTAACAATACTGAAATTTGAATCTGGGGTTTATAAATTATTATTTTTTTAATTTTAGAAATAGATAATATCGATCGATAAGCATGTATTTTTATACGCCCACATTTTCATGTGGACGTATATTGTCGTCGCCCCTGTCCGTCCGGACGTCCGGGACTCTCTACAGGCCACAATTCTTGTCCGATTTTGACGAAACTTGAAATATAGGTTTATCCCCAAAAGATCTCGGCTGCTTTCGATATTGGCATGTATCGGATCGAAACTTCATGGATTATGGCCCCTGTTTGTACGAAAAATCACGTTTTTAGCTTGTGGACCCTATAGAGGTCACAATTTTTATCCGATTTTGTTGAAACTTGAAATGTAGGTTTATAACCCAAAGATCTCAGTTCCTGTCGATATTCGCGCATATCGGACCGTAACTTCCTGAATTATGGCCCCTGATTGTACGAAAAATCATGTTTTTAGCTTGTGGACCCTATAGAGGTCATAATTTTTATCCGATTTACAAAACCGTATTATTATATCACCGTTACGCCCTAAGGACGACTGAGTTTGAATTTCGTGAATATCGGCCCAAAATTGACAGACAAAATGTCAGCCGTTCGTTCTCAAATAGCGTAAAAATATGGTATATCAAGGTTGTGGACCCTATAGAGGTCACAATTTTTATACGCCCACATTTTCATGTGGACGTATTATGCCGTCGCCCCTGTCCGTCCGGACGTCCGTCCGTCCGTCCGTCCACAATTGTTTGTGGACTCTCTACAGGTCACAATTCTTATCCGATTTTGACGAAACTTGAAATATAGGTTTATCCCCAAAAGATCTCGGCTGCTTTCGATATTGGCATGTATCGGATCGAAACTTCATGGATTATGGCTCCTGATTGTACGAAAAAATCACGTTTTTAGCTTGTGGACCCTATAGAGGTCACAATTTTTATCCGATTTTGTTGAAAATTGAAATGTAAGTTTATAACCCAAAGATCTCGGTTCCTTGCGATATTCGCGCATATCGGACCGTAACTTCCTGAATTATGGGCCCTGATTGTACGAAAAATCGCGTTTTTAACTTGTGGACCCTATAGAGGTCATAATTTTTATCCGATTTAAAAAACCGTATTATTATATCACCGTTACACCCTAAGGATGACTGAGTTCGAATTTCGAGAAAATCGGCCCAAAATTGGAAGACAAAATGGCCGCCGTTCGTTTTCAAATAGCGTAAAAATATGGTATATCAAGGTTGTGGACCCTATAGAGGTCACAATTTTTATCCGATTTTGTTGAAACTTGAAATGTAAGTTTATAACCCAACGATCTCGGTTCCTTTCGATATTTGCGCATATCAGACCGTAACTTCCAGAATTATGGCCCCTGATTGTACGAAAAATCGCGTTCTTAGCTTGTGGACCCTATAGAGGTCATAATTTTTATCCGATTTCAAAAACCGTATTATTATATCACCGTTACACCCTAAGGACGGCTGAGTTCGAATTTCGTGAAAATCGGCCCAAAATTGACAGACAAAATGGCCGCCGTTCGTTCTCAAATAGCGTAAACATATGGTATATCAAGGTTGTGGACCCTATAGAGGTCACAATTTTTATCCGATTTTGTTGAAACTTGAAATATAAGTTTATAACACAAAGATCTCGGTTCCTGTCGATATTTGCGCATATCGAATTGTAATTTCCTGAATAATGGCCCTTGATTGTAGGAAAAATAACTTTCTTCTTAGCTTGTTCTCTATCCATCTCTCGAAAATGTGGGCGTATCCTGCCTGGCAGCCGCTGGTTTGTATACATTTTATGTATTTTTCATGATTTTTGTTTGTACCTTGGGCATTTTAAATA